TCTCGTGTCTCTCCAGGACAGCACCAGCAACACACAGGCTGCACCCTTCTTTTCAAGGCTTTGTTTGTTTTTAAGCCTTCCAGATGAACTGATGTCCACTGTTGGAAGAAAACTGATATTCTCCAGTGTGTTTATTTTATTTTTAAAAGTTACCTAGTAATGACAGTGCAAGGCGATGACTGTTAAATTAAGCAAAACTTCTGTAATTGTCTATACCAAAACAGAAATCTCTACATCATTCTGGCTGACCAAGCCATTGATGCTGAGGAGGTAAAACCCATACAGCAATTTGTCAGGTCTAGTTTAGCTCCAAGCAATGAAATGGTTGGATCATCCTTTATATCAAAAGGAAACAGTTTGTTTAGCAATTGGAAGCAATCATTACATGCAAAAAACTTAGCAGTGATATTAACACCATGGCCAGAGATGCAGAAGAAAAACCTGAAAGTCTGCCATAAAAAAGAATTACAAAAGCTTGGAAATCTAATACTCTACTATTTTACATGTTGCAAAACAAACTTGGTTACAGCTTGGGAGCATTCAAAACTCCCCAAATCTTAAATATTTTATTTGCTCTAAATTTCAGAAAAATAACTAAAAATACATGAAGTGATGCCAGCATCTACTTAATTGTAATTGAAAACATTATTCTTTGTTTTCTATCGACTCAAGGCACTAGTGCCCCCAAGTGACTTTTTATTATACAATAGTCTAGAAGCTTTGCAAAAAAAGATGCAATTATGTGAAGCAGTTAATTCTGAGTATAGAAAGACACCTCTAACAGGAGTCATATGTAGAGATACTGAGATTTGTTTGAAAGGGCCTGGAGGTAAGGTCAGTTTATTAGAGTCTCATTTTATAATTATTCTGAAGTTGCTACTTGTCAGAAATTGACATCAACATAAAATGGGGTTTGCTTGCAAGATTGTCATCAGACTTTACTGCACAAAGCACCATAATACCCAGGCAGATTTTCCTTCCATTGTTTCAAAAACATTTTCCAGGTCTCTTTCTTTGCCCCTAGTTTTCTCTTGCCTCCTCTGATATAGTCTTTAAAAAAGCATTCACCAATCCTGCAAGACATTCTCCTGGAAGTGCATTTCTTGGTTTCCCAGAGGTATATCATGTTTTCTAGGTTACCAGTGAGGGAAAAAGCTTAAGAGCACAGAATCTTAAAACAAAACAAAAGACACCAACAAAAACCATAACCAAAAACAGCACACAGGCTGCCAAGCCACAACCAATCCTAGACTTGCTACAGACCACAGTAATCTTTACCTTCTCACTTATTTTTCCCTTAAAGACTACATTTGAGAACCCATTTAATATATTACTGAAGAATTATTAGAAACATATTTGTTACTAACTGTAACAATAGTGTACATGACTAGAAAAAAATAAAGATGGCAATTAAGTTACAAGAAACTTGCTGATTGTGAAAAATCTTTAGTAACCTCAGCATGGAAACCAAACACCACAACCTCAGTACTAACATGAAATATTATATTAACGTGTTTATGCAATACTCAGTTGACATCAACACAGCAGTTTTGCCAGTTGAATGTATGATATTCAAATATTCTATCAAAGATGAAATGTATTATGAGCTAAAGGCAGCACTTCAAACATGGTATTTTATACAGGAACAAGGTATACTAAGCAAGTACAGAAACACCTATTCAGGAAAAGGTCCAAGTTTACTACTTCAATTTGCATTTGACTACCCATTGTAGCATATTCTGTATGTACTGCACCATTCATTTTACAGATCTGTTGCAGAAATAATTTATTTTCATAGAAAAAAAATTATTGCAAGAAAAAAAATTACCTTATTGTGGTACTAGAATAGTTGATGCTGATAAGCGATTTGTCTTCTTGTTGCTCAGCACGTTAAATACACTGCAACTAATATTGTTCTAATGAATACCTTTTGAGTTTTAGAGAACTACTCATGTTTGTGTGAATGGTAGCCCCAGTTACTCAGCTTTAATACAAATAATGTAAAGCTCACCTCAGAATAACTGAGTAGCTGACCCACCTGAATTGTCTGCCATACCATAGGCATTCATCTCATTAACCTAATTTATGTTTCACTCCCTATCACCTGTTGAATGCACTTTCAATAAGAATATTACTATCCAGGCATAAGCCTAATCTTTCAACTCTGATCCAAACGGCTAGGTCAGTGACAATCTGCACTTCAACTAAGAGTTCACCATCAGCTCAAGAGCAGAACAAATCAGAACAAAATGTCGAAACAGATTTAGGAAAAGTATCCAAAGCATACAGCAGTACAGAGGAATAAAGCTGACTCTTCATGTGCAAATGTGTACTGTTTAGAGTAACTGCTTGAAGATCTCTACTCAACAGCAAGATAGTGCTATGTTAAATCTAAAATATTTGCTCATAATTGTTTCTATTAAAAAACACCTGATAGCTAATAGAAGGCACAAGAACGATTAAATCTTTATACTCTCAGATACTGTGTATTCACTTTGTTGTATTTCACTTGGCAAGGATTTTCCTACCTGGATGGCAAAACATTCCTTTGTGTAACAATATTTCACAGAAAACAATCTATTTTGAATTACTCCCACTACACAACAAATCAGAGCATGAAACTATTAACAGACATTAGTCATGTAAAGATTCATATCCTCAAACCACTGCTTCGAAAAACTATGAAATGGCTCTCTACTATGACTTGAATGTATTGCCACACATACATAAGTAGTAAAAATAGCCATGTAATAACAAATTAAAGGAATACATACATTCCTATGCTTTCTACAGAAAATGAGTTTGATTTGTGCAATGTTTCACAGCCTTGAAAAACCAAGGTTAGTTTATTAAGACATTTCATTTATGTCATACTGTCTTGATTCTAAACATTATTCCCATCTACTGCAATGAACCAATGAGGCAGGATTTTCTCTTTCCAGCAGGTATCACTTAACACCTCTTCTTTGTCATAGCACAGGAATGTCAACATGTAATAATGCACCAACAATGGCTTTCTGTCAAGTACTAAGTTCTTTTGAGTCAGCTTAAGTAAGTTTCAGGGGCAAAGTCCATCTTTACCTACGCTTTTACAAAAAATAGATTCAATACTATACTAAAACAGAAGCGCGCATTGTTTCATAGTACTTTCTTGAAGGATACTCCATTTCTCTTTCCTGGATAGAGTTGCTATGCAGCTTGCTGACTCTACCCACTTCTTTCCTGCCATTTTTTGGCTTCATTCACATTCTCCCTTCATACTCAGGTGTAGATATCCTGACTTTAATAGCACCATTTCCCATTTTCCCTAATTTTAATTCAAAAGCCCTCCTTGTTGCTACTTGAACTCCCTTTACTCTCCAGATATATCTTAATGAAAAGGACAGAAAGGAGAAAATAAGTACTTATCCTTAAACAGGGATTTCAAAGTTTCCTATGCTTTATGATAGCATAAAGTGGTAAATGTAACATCCCCTAGAATAATATTAGCGTATATGCCACAGGCATATATCCTATGGAGAGCATTCGGAGGAGCTGATGACTAAGGTGAGCAAGCTTAGGATTTTATAGGAAAACTGTCACAAAAACTTATTACTACAGATAATTTTTCTAAAAAAAAAAAAAAACCCACACCCGAATACCAACATATGAACAAGAAAACCACAGCTAGTTTATCATCACACAATATTTGTCAGAACAAATAAAGTTGTCTGTTTCCCCATTTTTTCTCCAAATACTTTGAGTGTTCATATTAAAAAAAATAAGCTATTGTTTCAACAAAAAACAATAATTAATTCTTTGAAAGATTTTATTTAGAGGTTAACGCTGAAATCTTCCCATTAAAGTATCGCATGAGAAGTCTAACAAAATCTAAAAAAAGAAGTGTTAAGCTCAAGTTTAACAGGCAAGGTCTCTTGCATTTACAGAACAGATGTTTTATGTTACAGCATACGTTTTATATTAAGCACTTAAACACCATTAACACAAAAGGCTGCTCCCCATACCTTAGTGATATTAAGCTTCCAAGTGCACCTGATCTTTATAAAAATAGTTACAGACTGACAAGTCATCTGAACCTAAAGCAACAGCTTCTACCAACTTAATTTCATTCTGAATCAGCTTCTAGCATCTCATTTAATGGTGATACAAATTCTTCATTATGTTTATTTTTAATTGAAATTACCTAACTTCAAACACAAGCTACTCAAGCTATTATTCCTACAGTGGGGGAAGCATATGCATTAACATCTATAAAAAATACGTCAGTACTGATGCTCTTAGTCTTTCCTTCAAAATGCAATTTGATATCTTAAGGTTTCTCTAAGCTTCTCCACAATGATGGCAAAACCCTTAGTTTCACAGCTTCTAAATTTACAAGAGAATAGGTTTCTGAAACTCTAGCTTCTGTACTGCAAGTTAAAATCTACAAAGAACTTAACCTATATGAAACAGACTATGTCATGAAGGGTTAATATATAAAGACACAAAAAAGGGTTTTCAAACATAAGTAACAGATTGCAGGCCAAATAAGGAAGCTAAAATTTTGAGGGCTAAAGAATTTGGGAAAAAAAAAGAAAAAAAAGCTGTGAGAAGAAAGCAATAATAGTGTATCAGTTGTAGGTTTCATGAAACAAGTATCAGCTTTTCTGCTTTACAGCTAATTTTTTAAGACATTAACTCATTTTTTTTTTATAAAGCTAAGAAAGCATTAGAAAACAGATCAGTAGGAGTTTTTAGTATAACATGGAGTAATAAATTATCAAGATACGAACTGAACAAAGAACTAACACCAGCTCTTCCCTCCACTCTGATAGGTAAAAAGAAGAAATAAATTGTACATAAAATACTGCAGCATTGTCATACCTGAGAAATTAACTACAACTTAATTACAAAGTCAATAATATTAAAGAATAAGTCTTCTATTCATAGTATCTGCAGTAGGTACTCTTAAGAAGAGTCTGTCAGGCTACATACAAGAAAACAGAAGAAGGCAGTCTTACTTTTTCATCATCATCAGAAAACGGGGCACCTCCAGGAGTCTTATTTATTGCTTGTGCCACACCAATAACCTCTCCATCACTGTTTCTTATGGGCATGCACAGAAGTGACTTCGTCTTGTATCCAGTCAGTTTGTCAATCTCATCATTAAAGCGACGATCCTTCAAGAGAAAACAAGGAAATATTAACATGCATATCGTATATTTGAGCTTCCTTCAGGTAGCAGGGTACTTGACTATACAAGACACTGAGAAAAATAATAATATGTTGTCGTCTGTGTTATTACCACATTTTCTATTAGATGTCTTTCCCCAGTTAAGATGCTGAGAGAAACAATTGTCAAACTGCTGTACTCAAACCACACAAGCATAAAACAAAGAAGGACTTTATGGATACCACTTAAAAAGATCAGCCACAATATCAAGACCCAACCGAATCATTGCACAACTTGCTGGGAGCATACAGGACAGTATTTGGGTAGACAAAGTTCCTAAAACATCGCATACATCAGAGTATTTTTTAAGTTATTCCACAGTGCTCTAACAGGAAATTTAGCACCACCACTCTAAATAGCGTTAATGGGAACACAGCAACTAAATCGCCCCAATGGTGAGCAGCTACGCAGAGGGAAAATGTGTGATTCCATGTAGTATTCTTCATTCTTGAAATTTTTAAGACCAAGAACAGTATCATCATCAAACCAGGTTTTATTACTGTTACCCTGAATCAGATGAGGTTGTTTTAAATGATTTTGTTTCCACTTGCATCTAAGTATCAGAACTGTGGTAATGCAAAGTTCAAAAATCTTTTAATTATGTTAATTAATGCATATATTAAATCTCTTCAGCATGCTTAAGTACCTAGTATAATCTCACTGATCATAAAGCATCCACTTTCTCAAAAAATACAGAACACATACTATGAGCATGAGTCTGCTTACATTGCTTTCCATTCTAATCTCACAATCAAATAAGAACAGTGATAAAATGTTAAGGAGTAAACATTTCAAACACCAACTTATCAGTAAGATTAGCAAGTATTCCAAGTGCTCTAATACTTGCAAGAAATTTTAGAATGCACTAACTGTGAAAGAGGGACAATCCACCATCTGCACAAGAAATGGAAAAACGTGTGTAGGGTGACAATACCACATCTTTAGACCAAATTACATTTGCTCACTTCAAAATAAGTTCCATTACTGGATAGAATGCTTACTGAATGACATTTTAAGACTGATATCTGGTGATAGTTACATAATCTTACATACACATACATCCTGCCATTTCACATCTATATTTTGCAGATGCCCATGATTTCTGGTAAACAGATGGAAACACTTGTTAGCTATACTTCTTTGCCTGCTGCACTTTAATTTTAGTAAGTCAAATATGCCTTGCTGTAAGGATTAGTATTACACCACAGTACAAATGTTTTCACTACAGAAATTCAAGAAAACTTCGGTTCTTTCCAGAGAATTGATTATGAAAACATGTTGATTTAGAAAGACCCCCTCACGCCAGTATCTCTCAATGTATAGCTTCCTGAAGAGGAAACTGTACATTGTTTGGATGTGCAGTTTAAGCTTCCACTGTAGAATCCACACAGCTGGTTACCACTGAAGAAAGATTACCATGTATACAAACAAAAGAGCTAAAAGATGTATAATACATTTTTCATACAATTTTCTAAAGTACTTCATTAAGTACATTAACATTTGAAGTTAAAAAAGCTTTAAAGAGCATTATTCAAATCTTAGCTGAAAATGACATCCCGTATAGATTGACCAAAGCTAAGGGAAACTGAACTCAACTTTTTTTTTTGCATGGTGTTGTGCAGATAACTATTCTGCCATGAAACAGTACTGCTGAAAGACGACTGCAAAGTCACTCTCCGTAGAGAATCATCTTCAGTAACTCTACCATCAAATGGAGAGGGAATTGGTAGCTCCATTCTTTCAGGACAAAGTTAGCATTTGGGTTGCAACCAGTTCTGGCACTCCCAACCTAAGGTAACTAAACTCTTCTACAAATAGAAGCAAGAGTTTTGATTTTAAAGGTTCAGACAGTATCAGCTGCAAAATAATATCTGCACATATTTATGTCCTGTGATGAAAGAGCAATTGTTACATCCCTACAATCCTTAAATTAAGATTAAATTTAACTACGATAAGAGAAATCATTAAATCTTTATCAATACTAAACATTGACACATTTTCCAGACTATCTTATTTCTACATTATCTGCAGATCACAACAGGGAAAAAAGAAGTAGGAGGATCATCACCACTCCAAAAAGAATGTGCTTTAAGTGACCTGCCTCAATCAACATTAAGATTTACATAAACATTTGGGTAATTTATCCTGTTATGCAAATTTTCAGACCTCTTAACACCAATAATTAATAACAATTGTCATATTCACACGCAAGCTATAGCACTCTTCTGCCACAAAATACCAAACTCTTGAATCTGTTTATTATACCATTTTTTCCTATTTTAATTCTGATTTTGTTAGGGTTTGCTGTTCTTCCTTAGACCTATTTCTGTCTTTTCAGTGTATTAAAAACTTTTTGCTTTCAAGAGAAGACTTTCAAGAAGAGCAAATTACTTATATGCAGTCTCTGAGAAGACAGTGAGCTTCCTTTGAAATATTTGTGCTTAACAGTTTGCTTAGGAAAGCCAGAACACCCATAATATACAATCAAAGCAACATCTGACCTGCAGTGGACAGCATCATGTAACACAGGGGCTTCTGAACCTGTCCAAAACGTTATCTCTATTGTACAAGCTGCCAGTACTGCAAACAGATGCGACAAAGGTACCGGTTTTGTATTCCTTAGTGGACTCCATGGAGAACAGCAGGCATAGAATGGACTAGCAATCTGGAATTAATTGCTGCTATATCACATCATATTTCATGTGGATTTAGGAAGTTTCCTGCTTGTGCTCCTTGTCGTGATCTCTACAGGAGAAGAGAGGCACAGGGACCCCAGAGCAATCAAACAGCCTCAGTTCCAGATATGTAACAACTTGCTCAAGTGGTTTCATCATCTGATAGCAGATTACCCACTTCTTACCCTTCCGTTAAAGGTAGTTCAGTTCCCTAGCATATTCGAAACAGTGAATAAGAGGAATATAGAGAAACTTACGCATTTGTTCGGTAAAAGGAAGAGATTAAGGCAAGCCTAATTAAGAACTCAGTAAAAAAAAAATAAAAATAGAAGTAATCAAGATGCAAAGTGAAACTTTGTCTCTAACCTCTTGTTGAAGTGCAGGCAGGAATTTCCTTTCAGTGACATTTGCAAAAAGCAATGAAGGAGACATAAGCAATGAAATACTAGTTCTGCCAGCATTAACATGCAGTACACGAGAAGGAAGTGACCAGATGACCTGCATTATATCCCAGATCTTCCCCTTTTCACACCTATTCCTCCCTCCTAGTTTTCTTTCATCATTTATTACATCTTCATAGGATGCACACAGTAGGATCTAGCTGAGGTTTAGCTGAATTTAACTGCATCAATAAAAACTCAATACCCAAGTGTGAACTATGAAGGCTGAGGAGCTTGTACAAAATTTACATCCACCTCTACTTAAAGGATAGTGACCTTGAGCAAGAAGGCCTGTTTAGCAGCTGATAACAAAGCTGCTAAATCAGAGAGAAGAATTCTGTTAGACTGAAAGCATTTTATGATACAAACTATTACCCCATTTTTTAGAACAGCCTATGGCATAACAAGCACCTGTGCTGGGCTGCTGGCTGTTAGGGAATATCAGTGTTGATGCTACAAATGCAGCATGCTCTTGTAGGTTTCTTTTTGTAAAGAAGAGTTATTCAGTAATTAGAGATAAAATTAGTATACTTTATATCTTGTCTGAGATAAACTTCACTATAATTGCAATTGTATCAGCAATATTTTCATGCAAGAACACTCAGGAATTATGAAGTCAAGACTTCTGACTGTTAAAAACACTGCTAACACAAAAAAACCCAAACAATTATTTTTAATGTCCTGTGTCTACATAATGAGGTTGCTAGATGCCAAAAACATTGCAAATGTAATGACTCACGTACTCTGAACTTGAATTTTAACTGCCAACAAGGAGTGGTTATTTGGGAGGATAAACATCATCTTGTCTGAAGTTTCTTATTGACTGTAAATTCTTCTTTGGGGAAATATTGCCCTGTAAAATGTGACAGTCAATCACAGGAAGAGAGCAAGATTGATTCATCAGTTCAAGTGCTGCTATTTCAACTGCTGGAGCAGTAACACCTAGTCTCAGTTCTTTTTGGATCTACTTAGAGATTTGCTGTCAGCAAGAAAAATATTTTCATGCTTTTATACTACAAAGCTTTTATTCTATAAAAGGACAAATTGGGGCAGAGTTAAATCCTGTAATTCTAATTTATCATGATTTCAACTTTCATTAATACATTTAATTTCTAGTTCCTGTAATTTTGAGAACAACATTAAAAGTGTGGACTACAATTTGAGAACTTAACTATCAGAAACATTAGAGTCTTGAATGGAAGTTGTGAGCAGCAAAAACATTTTCTAGCTGTTTCAGCTGAAAAGCTGACTGCACCCAGAAGCTGTATGTCAAGTCCTCTAATGACCTCTGCATTCATAAGATTAGTTTAATTCTGACTATGAAAGATATAAAGGTACTGGGCAAGGATTGAAAAAAGTTAATTAGGTGTACTACTGATAGGGTTGGAAGTGGAAAATGAGAAGTCTTAGGGTTTAATTCTCCTGGAGAACAGCAGCAAATTAACCATAGTTAATCCGTAGTCACTAAACAATCTGACCATTATGAAAATGGAACAGCTATACTTAAAAGGGGGGAGGTCTACATTTCAGTGTGAATTTTGTTTTTAAAGAGGCAAAAAACATAATTAAAAGTTACAAATTTTATCATTTGCTGAAAGAATATAGACATTCCATAATGATTCCCAGCTTCAGGAAATCTTTAAAAAAATTAACAGGAAATCTTTCACAGAAGGTCACAGAGGACCTCCACAACTCCCATGAGATGCTATTGTTCTCATTTTTAATGTAACAAGATTTTCCCCTCATTCCCTAGACAGTTAAAGAAATTAAATAGATTAGGGTAATAATGAAGTCAGTTTCAGAACAACTAGAATTCACATTTGAATTTCAGTTTAAGCAGATGGTTCACCAGTTGTTAGCAAAGGTACAGTTAGTCTAAACACAGCCCTTGGAACTTGAAAAAGAAAACTGGTTTTCTATATCCTTACCAAAGCTAGTACAATTAATGCTATACTATCAGAATGATTTGGAATGATTTATAAGAAAAGTATGCTCCTAAAACAATGTAGCTCAGAGTAAAATGATATAATGCAGGATGAAATCTTTTTGAAAAGATCTTCAGCAATGAGAAGTCCATGGGACATTGTTTTCACTATCCAGAGTCTGTGGATATAACGTCCAACTGTAATAAAGTGAACTAGATGACCCAACTGAAGTTCACAACTACAAGCAAAAGGTATCTCTTTTGACAATTTGAAAATACTACTTGCTTGTTAATCATACAAAACAGAAAAATACAAGAGGCACTCACAGCAGGACAGGACTGCTCACTATTTAGTTTTCCCTTAAGAATGGCTCAAAAACATAAAAACACCTTGAAGCTCCTTGGAATACCCTGCATTTAAATTACTGATTCACAATTAGCTGTTCAGCATCAAAATTAGTATAAGAGCAAGGATGTCAGATAACATTGCTTACCTAAGATGTATTGTACTACTGCACTGCACAGGATATAAAAATGTGATTTAAGGTTTTTTGTTTATTTCACTTTACAAGAAGTTGATATGCAGAAGCACTGACATTTGTAGAAATTGAAAAACTGACATCAAAAGACTTGTCATTTCTTAATCATGCTTCCTATGAGTATAGAATACATAAACTTTTATAAGAAAAGAGCAATCCAAAAGACAGCATATTGTCCAGAGCCAAAGCATAATATGAAAAAGCCAAAATACAAGTAAATGAAGGCATCTGCTCTGGATACTCCTCTTCGAAAGAAAAGAAGTTTAAAATGCCACAAACAGCGGCACAAACACAAGCACGAGTTACGTTGTGCATGAACAAGGAGCAGAAATAAAGCAATAAGACAACAATGGGCAAAACCTTGTAGAAAAATTTGCACACAAAGACCAACCAAGTAAACCAATCTCTTAAGGGTCTTCAACATAAGGATTTTTGCAGCCATTCCTGTCAACTTCTGCAAAGTCTCTAAAAGCCCCAGAGACAAAAGGCAGCAGGAGAACAAAGTAGCACCATTCCCCAGCATCTAAGACCTAATTCTTCCAATAAGCACAGTTATCTAGTGACAATCAGTGGCAGCAATACTTCTTATAAAACAAGTAAAACAGATAAAGCATAGAACATCTCAGCCAACTCCATTTCATCACTCCCATAACAATTCAGAAAAGTAGGGAACACTGACACTCAAAATCATTAACTTCCAGACTAAAAAACCAGTCTCTATATATTTTGAGCTAAAAGAAAAAAAAAAAGATGACTTCAAGGGGAGAAAAGTGATAATCAAGTGATAATGTTTATGTTTTGGTTTTAAATGCATCAACAGTTTAGGGTTCTCTCTATTTAGTCAGGGTGTGTTATATTCTCTCTCCCATTTTAATCACTGTTACATTTCTTAGTTAAAGAACAGACACAACAGTCCATGTTGTCTGCTTATGTAAGCAATGGAACAAAATAGAAATTCTTTCCCTAAAAAATTGCAAGCACTAACAAGTTTTTAGACATGAATATCAAGCTAATAATAATAAGATCTCATGCTTCACACTCAGATCTGATCAACAGTGGGATTGAGATTCCTCTGCAGGACAACACTTCCCAGATCAGTACAAAATAGTTTTGCTGTTCCTCCTTCCAAACAAACTACCAGTAGAGTGCTGATATCAGTACAGTAAATTAAGTTGTAATCTAATTTATGGTATCTTATGTGCATTTCTACACTGCTCATGTACTTATCAAAGAAAATAAGAGTTATTTTTTCCACTAATTTTAGTTTTAAATATTTAGAGATAAAATCCACTACTGCCCCATCACAGTGGCCTTGGGCCCTTTGGTAGTGGGCACAAAGAAGCCCTGCTGAGAACCAGCCACAAATATCCTCCCATATTCCCATTTCACACAAAACTCACTTTCAACCACTTCTTCATGCTGTTCTCCTAAACTCAATGTTTTGGGTTTCTTTTTTTTGTTTTCTTTTGTTGTTGTTATTTTCCTTAAGCCATGCAATACTTTATATAAAATTACATATATATATACTTACATAAATATACTTATATTTGATACTTCCCTTAGAAAAACAACCCAGTAAAACTGCGTCCCTCAGTAGAAGCTTATCTATAGGTTAGCCTAGCTCCTGCAAGTGATTGCATGGGAGCAACAGGTGGCTTCAAGTGTTACGGAAGTATAAAATCATTGAACAACAAATTTAAAATGTCATTGTGATAAACCAGTAGTTATTAACCTTAGCCATTCTCATTTTTAAAAAGTGCACTTTGGACACATTAAACCCAGCGTATAATCAATGAATGTTAAGATGTTATCACACAAAATAAACAAGAGAGTTAGGCAAAGCAGATTACGATAACAAAAAGAGGATAGAAAGCTTACCCCTATCCTGGGCTCACTTACAAAGCCCCAGCAGAGCAGGTCTCCAGAAGAGACCCTTCCCCACTGGCAGCCAGCTCTTAAATAGGTCTAGGAGGAGTGCAGCCAGGCTCCACCCCTTCCTGCAGCACAGGTGAATTGCCTTCACCTGTGCTCCTCTGGCTGACTCACCTGACTTCACGTGGCTCACCTCAGGTGATCAATCAGAGGTTCAGGCCGTGATTCAGCAGTTCCCATACACCCAGATTGCATGCAGTTATTATTCTGCAAACACACTCTGCTGAATCATTAGCTCAAGCTGTTTATTTCATAGTTACTCAATAGGATTGTTGTAGAAGAGTAAAACAAATTAACTTGTGTAATGACGTATGGGTACTTCTTTTTAATTGTACTATTCTATAGAAAAAGAATACAACACAAAACTGTAAATAACTAAAAGTAACATCCAGTTGTTTCAAAAAATCTGAAACCATTCCAACAGACCAGCAAGATCCTTTACCAAGCAAATCCACCACTTTATTTTGTCTTGTAATGGGATTTCTGCTAGAACTAGAACTGCAGGTTTAGGTACGTCCATTCTCACAGTCACTGAAATACCCTAATCAAATATGCAATTGAACTATATTATGCTACACTGTGCATCATGCCATGTAAGTGGAAAGTATTTCCCTTCTGTCCCTATAGTTTAGTATAAAATTTTATATAAAAATCTAAATTATATCCCCTCCTAACGCTCCCTGATATCGTCTTCCATACCATCTTTCTAGTAATGCTTGTACATAAAATGAGTAGAAAGACACATGAAAGACAAAGCCAAGCACCAAATATACTTAGATAAGTGAATATCTGCTATAAGTATAGATTTACATAAGTGCAATGGAAGCCAGATCCATCTAACAGAGATTTTCAGTAGAGTCAGCTAAATCAGCATGAAGTATTGATTTCAATTCGTCTTTCAGACTTAAAGCTTCCTATTGCTATCACTGGCCAAACTAGCAGAATTCTCATAAGGTGAGAAGCAATGATTTAAGAAATTTTTTTTGCACTTATCTTCTAAACTCACTTCTCATTAGATTATTTTCATTTATTTTACAAGTGTTTGCCATTTAATATTTAGTTTGTCTATATATTATTTGACTCCAGTTCTTCTACTGATAAGTTACCTTCTCATCCTGGACGTGGTCAAAAATACATTTTTTTCCATGTACAAGCAATTCCACAGCATAAGAACATGCAAATCATAGGACAAAAGGGAAAAAAAGTGTGTGACATGCATAAGTGAACTATATTAACAGAAACGAAATTAAATCTACTTTTTCCTTTAGCTGATATTCATGCTCAGTAGTTCTAAAAAAAAAATAATAATAAATAAATAACACACCAAAACAAACAACAAATAAGATGACCTGTGATGAAATAACCCAGACACAACATCAGAAAAGGGTGAAGACTTCAAAAATCTCTTTTATCTTTAAATATAATTTGAACTGGATCATATGTAACACCACAGCAAAAAGCTGAAGCTCTTAACTTCTTTAACTGCATTTCCACATACGCAAACAGTTGAGTATTTAAAAGTTAAGACTCCTACAATATCTACATAAGAGAATCCCAAATCCTCAAACTAAATAAAGGACAGCAGTTCTGAATTAAGCGATGGCAAACACAGCCCCACCTGTGCCATCAGTTTCACTAGGGAGGGCAGGATGAACACTCCTCATCCTTTCACAAACCTGGATTTTTCCAGTTAAGCAGAGCCAGGTGAAGCTCACCAGCAGGAACATCAACCAGAGCTGGGGCAGACAAGCAGAAAAAAGTTAATTTGCCCCATGAGATACAAAATGGCAGCCCTTTCAAAAGTAGGGATTCCAGCAACACCTACTCTCCTACTCCTCAACAAAGGTTAATATCACTCCAGTAAAACAGAAAAGTAACAAACACAAAAAACCCCATGCTGAAGAAATGCTGAACCTGCCTCTACTTGAAGCTGTAAACTTAATCTAGACAAAACTAGAGATCATTGCAGAACAGGTGCAGATACACACGTAGAATAATCCAGATTGAGACCCTTTCTGTATCTTATCAGCACAGCTACTTCACCACTTAGAAGACCTATACTGTTACCCACAAATGCTTTTGTAGCTATTGGTTTCCAGAATATATTCCTAAAATAACCCTAAAGCAGTTTAACGAAGCCTGTACCACATCCCCATACAAGCTACCTAGGGAAAAGTAAAACAAGATGCAAGCACTTCTACCCCTTTAAATCACCACAGACTCAGACAAGCTAAGAGGTGCAAGCAGGCATTGTTTTTTTCCTCCCCTTAAAGCTTCCCTAATTTCATTTTCCACCATAAAAACTGGTGAGGACAACAATAAACCAGATCAAAAGGCTTTGGACTTCAAAGCATGCCACCATACTTCTCCAGCACCTAAGCAGTTCCAGGGAACTCAGAGCCTCCTCTCTTCAGAGCAGCCTGGGGAGTTACTGGCCAGTGAGGGCCCTGTTTTCCCACCCACAGCTTCCATGAGGAAGTTTCAGAATGGGTGACAGGTTTAAAAAAAAATTTGAATTTGTTTCTTTAGACAGACAGGCTAACTAACTGATAAACCAGCAAAGGCTGACAGCTTGATAAAAGCAGACCTTACAAGGGAACAGGAAAACCAACCCAGGGGATTTATAGGAAAAAGCAATGGAAAGCCAACCCTGACCACCACAGATTTTTTCATAGCTAGTAGCTGGTATGCCGAGTAGCTACTCCATTAAAGCAATAGAAAAAACAGACCAAACATCTTTTGATAAGGAAAAAAAATCCAAACCTACTAATCTGCTGATGAAAGTCCTCCACTCTACACTCACTTTAGGAAGTTGCATTCACCACCTCACACCAGCAATACAGCCCACTTCAGCACTGTCTGTAAGTGCCACACCCCATTGCTGATAATTACTTACTAACAGCAAATTATCCCCAGAATGCTTACACCTGAGCAGGGGTGGGCTTCAGACTTAGCTTTCCTGCAAACAGGACCCACCTGGGCACCCTTTTCCAGAAAACAGATCAGGCGCACTCAGCTGCTGGGCAGTCATGAGGTACTGGCCCTGATGTGGTAAACAGGTCAGTGTGTGGCCTGGCCCGGCCCGTGAGGTAGCCTAGCTTCTTCTCTTACAGTATGCCTTCTATTAGTAATATGGTGTGTTGCACAGCCTAAGAAGGTCCCAAGATGCTTTACACTTCGCTCAGGGTCTGCTCTCTGAGAAGCAGGCTCCTGGGCTGAGGCAGAAACAGAAGGTATAGGGGTACCAGTGCCCCATGCGGGCCATAACCCTGCCTTCCTACGTCCATGGCTACAGGTAGCATGAGGCTACTTTCCAGGGACTCACGACTTTAACTGTTTTGAAATGCTATATGACAGACTGGCGTGCTCTTTCCTGGAAAGCACACTGGACCAATTTAGTTCTTCACTGTTGCAATTACCTCTTGTGTTCCCCATGATGCTTCCTAGTCATGTTTAATGCATGGCAAAAGTTGTTCTCAATTTTTTCTGTGTTACATGGAACTTTTTCTTTTTTGTTAAATTATTGCTTATTCTGCTTGCCGTGTTTCATGCTATCAGAGGAGCAACCTCTGTCTGCACTGAGAGCCAGTACAGAGATGCATGCAGGAGTTGCTGGTGCTAGTAGCTGAAGGCAGCTCATAAATGCTTCCTACCCACAGGACTAGATCTCTTGGGACCGGGGGTTTTAATGCTGTAACTGCTCTTTAAAATGGAAACAGACACACTGTTAATACTGATGGTAACAAGTAGTTATCCTGCATAATAAAACGTGGTTCTCATCTGTTCATTGCTGCCTACATCAAGAGCCCTTCCCCTGGAAGGAGAACGTTTTCCTCTGTGTCTGCAGTGGCTTAAATGTGACAAAGTCCAGAGCAAGGCGGTATTAAGGTCATTCGTTTTGTTTGATTTTAATTCCAGTAAGGTAGTTTTAATATTCTTTTCAAAGACTTGAGTTGTCCCAAAAAAAATCACTTCTAATCATCTTTTACTGCCCTTTCTCCAGCTTCCAAGAGCTCATGTCTTAGCATAGCTCCTTTTCATATTTCTCTCTCTTTCCTCCTTGCTTTATTAAAACATCAATCTGGGGAGCCATTTTATCTCTAAGGCTATTTTTTAAACTTCCAAATTTAACATAAGATGTACAGAAAACTTTTTTTTCAGCTGACACTGGCAAATGGCCAAACATATTTTTTCAATACTTTCTGATATATACTTGCTATTCTGAAGAGCAAGATTTTTCAGTAGTCAGAAGGATGTGGGATGCTATTAAATTAAATCCAAACTTTTGCACATCTTAAAGTACAGCAGTAACTAAGCATTCCTTGTGTTTTAAAATTTTGTTATTTAAATGCTGCTCTAAAAGATGGAACAAAATAGAAACGATCAGGAATCTCAGCTGGATGTCATAGAAGATCTGTAAGAAGAAGGGATTACTTGAAAAATCCATAGCTTTAAGTAGCGAGGAAAAAAAGAGGAATTTCTAAACAACTCATAAGATCTCTGATAAAGAATAAATACCACTTCTGTCTACTTACAATATATTTAATATGTTTCATACTTGTGGAAAAATTACATCTATGCTTTGTTAAAGGGAGACTTAAAGCACACTTAAGTCCTTCCTTCCTTGCTAATAGGAACTGATTCTTCGAACACACATGCTCAAGACTTACTGGAT